GTGGGGGGTTTGGGTTTCTCCCAGAATATTTCTCGTAGTGAGTCTAAAAAAGTGTTCGTAAAAAAGTTATTACTAACTACTCCGTTAATATAAAAAAATTAAAATTATAAAAAACAAATTCATCAAAATTAATTTATATTTTTTTAAATCATTTAGTAACATGTTGATAGCTTTTACAATTTTCAGATAAACTTTCGAATAAGTTAGTAGCGACATAATTACCTACTATATTGGGTGAATATAAAGTATGGAATCAAGTGTTTTTTTTTTAATCATTTGACTTCAGAAAATTAATATAAATTAAAGTAATCGTATTTTGAGAACGAAATTCTGTTTTGTTTTTGAGTTACTCGATTTTTTGTCAAAATTGCGATTTATGAAAAAAAAATTAAATAAATACAAAGTAGATTGTTGTAATCCTTGTAGAAGTCAAAAACAAAAGAAAATTTTGAAAAATTTTATTCTTGATAAAACCACATTTTTATAGTATTTTATAATTCGTCAATTAGTTTTTCCAAAAAATAAATAGTTTAAACAAAAAACGTTTGGTTCCATACTTTTAATTTACCTGGTATAATTATTTATTAACATAATTATTGCAACAATGTATGATTGTTAAAATTAATCTCCGAAATAATTTATCTGAGATTGTAATAAAAGCTTCCTTTAACTTACCATAGTGTTCTGCACTCCACACCAGACAACTAAAAGTAAACTTACACTAAGTGTCTATAATTGATTGTTCGGGTCAAAGGAGGCTTTGAAATAATGCCAACCTTTGAATGTGCCGCTTTTTCTGATACTGAAAACTAATATATTTCACAAATTTCAAAATTGTGTCTCTTTGAAAATAAAACGGCGGAAAAACTGTGGTAAACTACTCTCTGATGAAAAGGGGTACTTAAGTGAAAGGATGATGTGAAAAGGCAGCAAGAATGTTTGTTTCTGTAATACAGTGGTCGTGTGCGCGACGTGGAGTCCTACTGTTTCAAAGATTTTTAATGCACACTTTCCAATCAAGATTTGGTATGTGGTCAGTCATAAAGTGTTAGGTAGAGCCCAAAGATCCTTTATAAAAATCATTTGCAGGTGTATTCGTGTATTTAGGGAGGATATAAGACGTTAAGAGGTTAACAACTGACAATCCACCACCGTTTCTTAATGACGACCCATTTGATCAGCGCTTCTTAATTACTCCCACATTTGAACAGTGAGGAAGATAAGAACAATTTTTAAAACAAGAGAAAATTTGACAATCCGATAGCATTTGAGTACGATTTCTAGTGATAATTATGTGGTAATAGGTCAAGTGCATACCAAAATTGTTAGAATTTTAATAAAATACATTAAAAMATGTGTTTATTTATTCTTCTTGTCACGGAATAGTTATCGTTCTCAATCTTGAACTACAACAAAAGCAGTTAATTGAGAAGTGCTGCTAAAATTGGCATTTTTTTTGATGTTAGGTTGTTAAGTTTTAACCAGAGACACATTTCTACGAAGTTTTGCTTTAACTAACTTTAATACGTATGTATGTACCTACGTTAGTTTAATATAAAAAAAAAAACATCCATGTCCTAATGCAAAGCCACACAGCACTTGTCTTACATAATGCCTTTTTGCCTGTTTTTATCTCGGTACTTGAAGTTTATTTAATAAAACACAAAACTCAATGGAAGTTTTTTACTTTATTATATTTTTTATAATAAATTCTGAAAATGTCCTCCATTGACATCTAAACACTTCACAATTCTTTTTCGTTTGTTTTCAAAGATGTCCTGTAGCATTTCTTGATTAATGGTGCGACACCAGTGAGTGATTTCTTCCTACAATTCATTTAAGTCCTGCATTGGTCTTCTGAATACATTATTTTTCAAATATATTTTCAAATATATCAAATATGAAAAGTCCAGTGGTGTCAGATCGGGAGACTGTGGAGGCCATGCGGGTTGTAGGTTTCTGCTAATTATACGGTCACCATAAAATTCTTGTAAATAATTTAAAGTATCTTGAGCTGTATGAGCCGTGGCACAATCGTGTTGGAAGTCAATCAAGCTGATTAATGAATGGTTCCAATAATAGTTCGCGGTATCTTTGTCCATTAATTGTTTCATTGAAAAATATTGGTCCAATCAGTCTTCTACGAGAAACTGCTAACCACACTCCAACTTTCAAAACATGCAAGGGGGTCTCTACAAATTGATGCGGATTTTCAGTACTCCAAATTCTAAAATTTAGAGAATTGACATAGCCAGACAAGTGAAACCAAGCTTCATCGCTGAAAAATAAAACATCCAACGCGTTTCAACCACAAAGTGGTCACCCTCAGGTGAGAATAAAAAACTGTAATATGCATGAAATTTGGAAAACCTGAATGGCGTTTGCATGTTTTCAGAAATCTAATATCTTGACTAACTAACTTAATACTAGTACTTACATTAAAGTAAAGTTTGCGATCCGTTGAGCTGGTAACCACCTTCTACTTCTTCTTGGATCTTTTTGGTATGGAAACGATGAACAAAAACAAAAACGTAGTTTTTTATTCTCACCTGAGGATGACCACTTTGTGGTGAAACGCGTTGTGATTTAAAAAAAAGTTTGGTGTGACAGGCTAATCGTGTTTTTGTTCATTTTTGTACATTATGTAATGTAGTTGAACTATGGCTTTATTGCTAAAATTTTTTATTACTTTGTTAGGTATTTCATCTACACCATGTGCTTTTTGTGAGGGTAATTTTTTAATGTATGTTTTTAGTTCGATCGGGCTAGTGAAATTGTGTCGAAGGTAATGTGGGTCAAGATCATATGGTGTGTTAAGAAACGTATTGGCAATGTTGTTAATTTTGTTTTGTTTGTTGGTCAGGGTGTTGGGATCAAGGTTGAGGTCGTGTATGTCGCTGTAGTAATCTGAGAGTAAGTCGACTTTTTCTGCGTCCGTAATTGCAATTTTATTTTTATAATGAATTTCTCCAATAGGGGTACGTTTTTTGCGTAACATTTTAGTGAGTTTGTATAGTCCATCATCATGAGATTTAATGTTGTGAAGCTTGTCATTTCATGTGTTATTTCTGTATTCGGTAATTTGATTTTTAATTTCTCGACTTAAGGTTGTCATTTCGTCTTCTTGCAGTCCTGTGCGTTGCTATAATTTACGTAATTTATTTTTTGTGGTAATGAGTTGATGTATGTTAGGTGGTAGCGTGTCAAGTTTAGGTGTGATTGTGAAAGTTTTGGTGTGTTTTTGTATTGCAGATTGTATGGAGTTTGCAAAAGTATGTATTATTTGTTCAAGAGATTTTGTGGTTTCTATGTTTGGTGTGATTGTTATCGTCGCATCAAGTGTTTTGCAAAAGTCTACCCAATCCGTGTGTATGTTCGATATTTTTGTTCGGGTTTGTGTTTGTCTAAGTTGTTTGTCTAATGTCACAACTACGGGGTTATGATCGGAGTCAAGAGCAGGTAGTGAAAGTGGTTGCAATATGCTTGTTGTGTTTTTTTTTGTTAGAAAAAGATCAATTGTTGTTGGGGTGATTCATGTCTGGGGGAAATGCGTGTGTTCGTCAGGATAGTTAATAAATATGTTGTTTTTGCCTGCGTAATTTTTAAAAAATGTGCCATTAGGGTTATTGTAATTACAGTTCCA